AAAAAATGTCCCAAATAGGCTGGTGGTAGGTCATCGCATCATTATTGTGATGGTTTTCTCAAAAAATACTTATTAGGCATCCACTTGGCCAGCACTGACCTGACCAGACCTTTTTCAACTTCCCTGAACCACCACTTGGGTGGTGAACATATCCAAGAGCTTTGCTTCATCACTGTTCTGGAATTACACCCTTTAAAATTTCTATATAGGTATGTGCTGCTTTTGACACAAGCTTTCATGGTAAGTAGGCACTAAAATAGAGGCTTATAATTAGCTCTCTGGGGAGGCAAATGTGTGGTAGAGCAGAACGCAGCAAGAGAAAAGTCAAGGCAGGTATTGGAGAAACACCGCATGGGAGATATTTCGTATAAAAATGTTTGAAAGGGTGGGCAATCCCACTAAAGTGCGGGAAGCCAAGGGAGTCCTATCACTGCAGACCTTTCTAGTTATAATTTCCATACGTATTAGTACAGGGTTCTCAAAGTGTACTTGCAATTTATCTCACACATTCAATCTTGGAAACCTGTTGTGGGCTCGAGTACGAGAGACACACGATCCTGGAGAGACCACAGCTCCATGAGGGCAGCATGATGTCTAATCAAGTCTGTGTCTCCAGCCCTGAGGCCAGCCCCTGGCCCCAGGACGGGCTCTCGATTCATGCTCCTTGAATCACATCCTTCCAGACCTCCCCACTTGTTACTTCTTCATCTTTTGACATCTCAATCTAAGATTAGCTGTCAACTTTAAGCCCTATGTCTTTAAATGTCAAGCACTCTGCCACTGGACATAGAACCAGCCTTGATTCTGGGGTAGATGCTTATTGACTTCTGCTGTGTCCTTGTCTGTGTGTGGCTTACCGCAGATGGGAGTTCTGGCTGCCTTATTTTCCACCCCTTCCTGCCTTCCCTGACAACACAGAGAGGTGACAGGCAGTACTAGGACTTAGGCACTGGGCCCTGCCCCTGTTCACCCTTTGCAAGACTTTTCCCTCACTTTCTATCAACTTTTTTTGTTACTCTCCTTCATATATTTGGAGACTGAATCTCACCAGCTTACTCTCACTCAGATAGATGTAATCGTCTATTTTCTCTTCTCAGCTTCTGAAAACAGAAGTTGCAGTGGAGTTGAGTCTTGGTTAAGCTTAAGCTTTTTGCCACCCCATGACAATCTAGAGTGGTCCAGGTGATGAGTATAGATGTGCCCCCAGAGTAGCTAGCAACGGCACCAGGAAAATCATATGCCCTCCAGGAGTGTTTCTTCTCCCCCCCAAATACATGCCCCGGGGTTGGAGCAGGGTTTTCAGGGTACAGATCTGATGGGGTGATGTTCAAAAAGCTGTCTTTTGAGCAAACTGACAATTCTAACCAGGGTCCCTTCCACCCCATTTCTTCAGAGTGAGACAAACCTTATACAAATTTTAATAGCTACATGCTTCCTACTGCATCCAATAATAATATGATTTTGGAGTTAGACTGAGTGCAGTATTTTATTCCCTGCAGAACCCAGGAGCATAAGGGAGCATCCATATGATTCCCAAATTTCAAGCAAGTGACAGTTTGCCTGGCTCTATTCTCTTTTGTAAAATGAGTAAATAAACTAGTAAGTATAGAATCCGTAAAAATAAAACTCAAGCGGAGCTAAAACCTGCTCAGAGGATTTTAACATGCAGACAAACAAATCAAAGTGATTTGTATATTTTTCAACCCAGCCCAGGACTGGATGGGCAAGAAGGGGGTAGAAACCTTAGACTCAGGATACCTTTTTTTTATTTTTAGAGTTGGGAGGGCAGAGGGAGTGGGAGAGAGAGAATCTTAAGCAGGCTCCATGCCCAGTGCAAAGCCCATGGCTGGGGCTCGATCTCATAACCCCAAGATCATGACCTGAGCTAAAATTAAGAGTCAGACGCTTAACCAATGGAGCCACCCAGGCGCCCTGGGAAACTTTGACAATGACATTGCTCCGCAGGAGGAGCCCTCCAGAAGTCAACTACTATAAATGTTCCCTAGTGCTACTCATTTCCTTTATTTTGTCTTCAAGACTCCCACAGGGTTTTATATAATGCACCCCGAAGCAGTCGCTGAATCCAGCATTGATCCCATCTTCTTAAAAAGCCACATTTCTAGTGGTGCAGGAGCAGGAGAGAAAATAACGCCCCCCCTCCCATCATCCCCAGAAGTAGTGCTGGAGAAAATACAACCAACCAGGCGTGACATTACTAAACTAAGATGGGTGCACACACAGGTGAGGAGGATTTCCCAGCCGGGTGTGGGAGGTGATGAGCAGAGCTCCCAGCGTGTAGGGAAACAGATCACTTAACTGTTGTACTTCAGAAACGCCCCGACTGTAACCAGAGCTGATAATTATGTCAATGAACATTCCACCTTCTTTTTATTACACTGATCTGTTCACTTACAAAACTAAAACTTCTAGGATTTCTTCCCAGAAGTCATAGGTCTCCAAAAAAATGTGGAGAGTTTCACCAGAAAGACAACACTGGGTTGAAGAAAGCATTTTATTTGCATAACGTTTTCATTTATATATGTTCATTCATCATTTTTATGGGAGATAGGTTATTCAGTTCATTGTTTTCATAAAATTAAAATGCAACATATAATAGGGAAATTAAAGCAAAACTACAAATTGTGGTCAAAATAGCTGATGATGATGGCAAATTTCAGCACACCAGAAAAGTCTCTTTTGTTTCCCTCTAGCCAACCATTATCAACCACCCTTATGTGCCAAACAGACATCAGGCTGGATGCTTTGGGGATACCAGAAAGCAGCATAATAAATGGTCTATGCCCTCAAGACATTATTTTTTAGTTTAATTGGAAAAAGCAATGATATATAGACATAGATATAAATATCAACAATTCTAGAGGCACCTGGGTGGCTCAGTGGTTTAAGCATCTGACTCTTGATTTCAGCTCAGGTCATGGTCTCAGGGTCGTGGGATCGAGCCCCGCATCAGCCTCCGCACTGGACGTGAAGCCTACTTAAGATTCTCTCTCTCGGGCGCCTGGGTGGCTCAGTTGGTTAAGCGACTGCCTTCGGCTCAGGTCATGATCCTGGAGTCCCGGGATCGAGTCCCGCATCGGGCTCCCTGCTCAGCGGGGAGTCTGCTTCTCCCTGTGACCCTCTTCCCTCTCGTGCTCTCTATCTCTCATTCTCTCTCTCTCAAATAAATAAATAAAATCTTTAAAAAAAAAAAAGATTCTCTCTCTCCCTCTCCCTCTGCTCTTCCACTCTGCTTCTCTAAAAAAAAAAAAAAAAAAAAATCAACAATTCTAGGACATGAGTAGTGTAATGGTCAAGAATACAGACCTGGAGCCAGATTGCCTTGGTTTGAGTCCCAGCTCTGCCACTCAAGGCCAGGATGAGAGTGAGGCACTCACCTGGGGCACAGAATTTAAGAGGATGCCAAAAGAAAAAAAACTCTGTAATCAAGATAAATAATATTTTAATGCAATATTTTAAAAATTCATGATGCACAAAATAGCAGAAGTTTAAATACAGACAGTCTCCAAAAACGCTATGCCAAGTCATACCGGAGCTCGAAGCAAAAGAAAAAATGTGCAACCCCAAATACATGTTTTGGTGTATTTTTTAACGGTTAATTTTGTCCCAGAACATTAATGTAGTTGAGAAAATATTGAAAATTGAGAAATAGGTGTATGAAAACTCACATTATTTTAAGTTTAAATATTTTATTTTTGCCCCAAACAGAATTTGTTAAAATTTTTACTTTTCTGGCTTTCAAGGAAGCAAACTCATCACTTAATAGCTTTGAAACCCCCGGTGAGTTTCTTAACCTCTCTGTGTCTTAGTTCCCTCTTCTGTAAAAAGGGTAGAAGAAACAGTGCCTCCTCACAGGGGTGCTGTGAAGAGTAAATGAGTTACTATGTGGTGAGCAGGCAGAACGATGACCTGCCTGTAGCACATTTTCAAGGGAAGCCTTTGTTACTCCTGTATCTTCATTATGCAGGCAGTGTAAGTTCTAGAAGATCAGAGAGGGGAGATCGGCTCCAGCTGGGATGACTCCTCACTCATATCTGTTACATCCCTCTCAGGCGCTCATGCTCTATGGGGGCTAGGACTCCGCAGCTTGTTCGCCACTGTACAGCCTGCCCTCTAGCAGCTCAGGTCCCCTAACAGGCACTTGACACATATTGTTATTGGATAAATGATAATCAGAAAGTGGTTATGGGTTTATGAAGATCCGACCTTCCCTCTTCCAGTGATATACCAATTTTACCAGAATCCAGCCTTCATCTGCATGGAGTGAACTAGACCGGCAAATTCCCCCAAATGTGGATTCTTCGCTTCTTGGAATCAGCATCTACAATGAATTTTTAATTAGCATATGCTTATTTTATTTTTTATGACTTTTTGAGGACAGCTAATATACAATGTTACATTATTTTCAGATGTGCAGCGTGGTGATTTGATTTGTCTATACGTTACGCTCTTTCACCACCAGAGTAGCCATGGTCCTTCACCATATAATGCTATTACAGTACCATCGACTATATTCCCCATGCTGTGCTCTTTGTTTCTATAACTACTCATTCTGTAACTGGAAGTCTGTATCTCGCTCTCCATTTTACCCATTTTGCTCATCCTCCCACCTGCCTCCCCTTGGCAGCCATCAATTTATTCTCTGTATGTATAGGCCTGATTCTGCTTTTCGTTATCCATTTTGTTTTGTTTCTTTTTTTTAGATTCTACATATGAGTGAAATCAGATGGTATTTGTCTGTCTCAATATGACTTATTTCACTTAGCATAATACCCTCTAGGTCCATCGATGTTGTTGCAAATGGTAAGATCTCATTCTTTTTGTGGCTGAGTAATATTTCATCATACCACATTTTCCTTATCCATTCATCTATGGCTGGACACTTGGGTTGCTTCCATATCTTGGCTATTGTAAATAATGCTGCAATAAACATAGGGTGCACATATCTTTTCAAATTAGTGTTTTCATTTTCTTTGGGTAAATATGCAGTATAGAATTATTGGATCATAAGATATTTCTGTTATTAATTTTGATATATGCTTATTTTAAATGTATCAGTGAATCACTAGGCTCTCATACCAGCAGAGATACTTCCCCTTAGCCATCTTACTACCCAAGATTGGAAAGCCTATCGTAAGTGGATTCTGTTCAAAGAAGCAGGAACAGGGACTCAATAAGAAACTCGACTATGGATTACACACTATTTCATTTGTAACACAAATATTTGCTTCCAGCTGGAGGGGAGGTCCTGTATTAATTAGAGCTCAAGTTGCTGACTTGGTTTACAGAATATAGACAAGAAACACTCCTCATTCCTGACACTAAGAAGTTGGGGTGGGAAAGGAAGGAGTGACATTATTCATACCAGAATAGCTCAGAATGAGATTGCATCTCTTATGAAACTTTAAGAAATCACAGGAGATAGTGACACCAAATACAAATCCAATTAACCCTTCTATTTGTCAGCTGATAGCATTCTAGCACTTCTATATTATTTTTCCCCTTATTAATTTTAAATGTTATTGGCCAGACTTTTTTTTAATCTATGAATGTGTTTTTATTCCCCTCCCACACCGTGTGGTGGTTCCTCTCACTTGTCCTATTTGAGTGAAGATCGGGTTCTGTACTTCCTTGTCTCAAAGGAGGTTTGTGGCAGGGCAGAAACACAAGTTGCCCGTGAGATGGTCCCTTCTTGCCTTTTGTTTTCAAAAGCTTAAGCCATTGATTAATATATTGGGGTTGGGGGTTCCGTAAGGGAAACCTGAAGAAAGTGGAATGTTCATCAGACATAAAACATTCTGGGAGATGAGAGAGAGGGACAGAGGTCTATGCATTCCTCCAGCATCAGGGACCAGAGCCATCTCCGTACTAGTGCCCCAAGGAGGTGACCAAATCTTCAATGGCTCAGCTTCGTGGCACACCTGAGGAGACAGAACCCTAGGCAGCAGCCTTGCCAAAGATCCCAATGTTTCAAGTGCCTCAGGGAAGAAAACAACCAGCACGACTGAAGGGACTGCCCCGGCCACGACAATGGGTGTCTCAGCAGTCACCGGTACAATTCAGGGACTGATGGCCACAGGGCTTCCCCCCATATCTGGTCTCTCTGAGACCCTGGGCTTCCAAATGACCCTTGGGGTGAAGGGGCTCTAGAGAAAGTCAGTTCTGCCTAGGAACACATGTCCTTCTTGCTGCTTTGGAAAATGTCAAGTTGAAATTCAGTGATTTAAATCCATGAAAAAACTCAGTATCTTTTGCCACCTAGATTTGTGGCCTGGGAGTCACGCCTGCAAAAGTTGAGTATTTAGAGCCAATACTTGATGAAATTTCTCTCTATATTAAGTTAGCTGTGTCCACTCTGGGAACATACCCCAAACCCTTGACTCTAGGTTTGTCTTAAAATCTCTCCATACAGGGGCTCTTATGTGAAAGGGTTTAGCAGGCTTACTTCCAGACCATTCTTAACAGAGACCAACTAGGAGCAGAGGGAACATCTCTTCGGATTTGAAGACAGGAACATCAGATTGCCTAATCTAACCCTTGGTTGCAGGCAACAGAGGCAAGCCCTGCCTAACTTTATCTAAGCTGGAATGTAGTGGAAGGATGTTGAATAGTTCACAGGAGGGACGGGAGGGCTGGAGAACAAGGTTCAGGAAATGGGCTGGAGGTCAAGAGAGAATGAGCAGTAAGGACCACAGCCAAGGTCATGCCACAGGACAGTGTGCATGCCCACTGCTGTCCACAGCATAACATTGTCACCACAAGTGGCCTCTGGACTATCCTTGAATCTTTGCTTCACTCCCTTGATATTCAAAATCCCAGAGAGGAGGGGCTGACCGGCTGAGCCTAGGTCCTGCTCCATACCCTGGATGTCTGAGCTAGGGAGAGGGGGATCACCCTTGACACAACACAGACCACTGCACCTCCCCAATACTACATGCAGTGGGGAACTCCCTCCAGAGCAGAAAATAATGTGGATGAGTGCCCATCACATTCCCAACCCCCACGTAGGGAAAACGAAAAGGTGTTAGAGTTCTGAAAGCTCCAACCTTAAATTAACTACCCTAGAAATGTATTCCCTTCATTTCCTGGAATCAAGCCCTGTGAAAGCTTTATGTAGACTCATAATTTCACTCCCAGATCAGTTTGTAACTCATGACCCTGATTCCTGCCATGCACTTGGCCCTGGCTCTCTTCTGTTGATTTTAGATTACTGTAGCAGTCCCCCAGGCTCAGGGACTGAAAAGCTTGGCAGACACCGAAGTTCAGAACAATCTTTTCACTTTACCTCTCACCTCTTACCTCCACCCTGAAGCACATGGGTCGTGTTGGCTTCCTGGTGAAGCTGAAGAGGGAAGATAAACTTAAGGACTACAGATTTAGAAAGTGTTTTTAATCTCCTTATATATAGAAGAACTAAATTCTCAGAAAAACAGAAGTATGGTCTGTTTTTTAAGTTCTCCAGAAGCAGGAAAACACTATCCTTGAAACAGCCAATGGTAAGACCCAAGCTGTGTTTGAAGATTCAGTAGAAAACAGAGAACAGTTTATAAAAACAGGAAAAAAAGATGCTCACAAACTATCTCCAAATCCATTCACATGCCCAGGAGGAGGATGTCCAAGGGATCATGACAATGGCCGGGGACAGATCACTCCCATATCTGTGATGGCTCCTCGCTGCTTCTCCAGCTTTTGGCAACGGACATGGTGGGCAGACAGAGCCGGCGTTATGGGTCGAGCCAGGAGAGGAGTCCTCTCTTTCATCTGACTGCACTGGAGGAAAAACCTCAGGATCTGTGTCTGACAAAAGAATCTCTTTTTTTTTTTTCCTAGAGGTTCATCAGGATCTAGGACAGGACAGAGGAGACAAATATTCTGAAAAGGGAAATATTAGATGAGGACTAAGGGGACGTTCAAACCTACAGCTGTGCCACAATGGGTGTTACGCAGTCTTAGAAAGTACGTATAAGCCACCAATGACTGATATGCAACAAGTGCTTATTAACTGGTTTTCTTTAAAAAAGAAAAAGTTTGGGGGCACCTGGGTGGCTCAGTCGGTTAAGCATCCGACTCTTGGTTTCAGCTCAGGCCATGATCTCAGGGTCGTGAGATAGAGCCCTGAGGTAGGCTCCGTGCTGGGCGTGGAGCCTGCTTGAGATTCTCTCTCCCTCTGCCCCTGCCCCCGCCCACTCATGTTCTCGCACTCTCGCTCTCAAATAAATAAATAATCTTTCAAAAAATAAGGAAAGAAAAAAAGAAAAAGTTTGGAAATGATAATTAAAGACAAAATCTTTCCAATGCTTCTTGTTTTAATTTTCTTTAACTTTGTCCCTTTGTTCACTCGGTATTCAAGGTTCTCGTGTTGTTGGCTTGGCCAAAGCAAGGGCAAAGTCCCCCCTAGGCTGTGCCTCCCTGCCCTGGCCCCAGCCAGTGTGTGACTGACTGTGCCAGTGAGCAGGACCTCGGAAACCACAGCACCAGTGGCCCCGACCTTGGCCACTGGCCAGGAAGAAACAGGTTCTGACGGCTGTACCTGAGGTTTTGAAAAGCTACTTTGTACCCAACCCCGAGGTGCTGTGTGAAGCCTGGACAAGAACAGGCATGCTTCTGCTGAGTTGTGTGGATGCGTGGGGTGAGCCCGCTCTGGGCTGACTCCAGGTTAGGCTCCGAAATGGGAAACCTGAGGCAAAAGTAAGAAGTCCCAAAGAGAAAGGAGCAAATTTTAAAATTCTAAGGGCTCCCATAAGCCGCAGCACCCTATGTCCCCTCCTGGTCCCTTCCCTCATGGCTGATCACTCTGCTAAAGAAGAAGCTTCTGCCTCATGCAGCAGCAAGAATGTTAAACCAGAGGAAGAAAGTGAAATGACACAATTGTCTCATTTTTCATCAGAGGTGAAGCTTACGTATATAGCATTTATAAGTATTATATAAAATATAAAATATTGAAGTTCTTCACAACATTTTCCTAAATATGATTGACAAGGGCTGAAGGTCACAGAATGAGGCTTTTGTATGACTCACATTTATTTCTTTCCGTTTCTTAGCTGTCACACTCATCTATAATAAAAGGCCTTCCAGCCTATTATTACTTCAGGAGCACTAACATTTCTCAGAGGACCTCCCTACCCCAAGGAGTTTTTACTCGATCTCCAAAGAAGATATAACATTCTCAAAGAGTGAGTCAATTTATCGGGTGAGTGAAGGCATAAATTACTCAGCCATCCATCTTTACATCTCAGATCTGCATAGCTCTGCAGAGATTTGCCGTATTACACCAGGTTGCATCTCAAGGCAAGCCCTGGGCTCGTCAGAAATTCCCAGGCTGAGTTTTACAAGCCATGGGAGTTTTGTATACTTCCATGGCTTTTGGTATAAGTTACTGACCCTTGATCGTGATGTTTTAGCTCTCAGAAAGAAGTGAAACATGACTCAGGTTCCAAAATGGAAGTGTCATCTGTGAGTGTGGCAAAATCTAGGTGCGTCATATTTTAATTCATAAAGATGCTCCCGGGGCGCCTGGGTGGCTCAGTTGTTAAGCGTCTGCCTTCGGCTCAGGTCATGATCCCAAGGTCCTGGGATCAAGCCCCACATCAGGCTCCCTGCTCAGCGGGAAGCCTGCTTATCCCTCTCCCACTCCCTCTGCCTGTGTTCCCTCTCTCGCTGTCTCTCTCTGTCAAATAAGTAAAATCTTAAAAAAAAAAAAAAAAAAGGTGCTCTCAAATGCCACCAGTGCTCCTTTCATGCTCAGCAGGTGCCCCTCCTGCCTCATTGAGAAGGGGAAGGGCACCAAGACAGATCACTCTCTCAATTTCTCCACTTTCTACTTCCAAACTCACAGTCTCACTCACGTCCAGCCTTCCAGCTGCAGGAATGCGGGCTCCCCTCCAAGCCCGACCGTCGTCGTCCTGATACTGTCCCCACCATCCTGAAACCTCAAGCCATCAACAGGCCCCATTCTCTTCGCTCCTCAGTTTCTCCCTTGCCACTAGATCCCCCATTCCTCTCCTCCCAAAGGAAAGGATCACCACTCTCCATCCTGAAGAACCGCTCCGTTCCTTCCTCACCTTCTCACTGCCAGGCTCCTTGAAGACACTGGCCTCTCTCTCTTCGCCATTCACACCTCCCCTGAGTGCCCTTAACACCGGCCTTTTTTCCCTTTGGATGTTTACATCTATTCTCATGGTTTCCCATGTTACTTATAAACCGATTATTCCAAAGATCTATCTTTAGCCCTGAACTCTCTTCTGAATTCCAAACCGTGTCTAAGTGCATAATGGCTCTATCTGGCCGGGTGTACTGGAAGCACCTAAATAAACATGTCTAAATCCAAACTCATCAACTCAAACTTACATCCCCAGCCCCACCCCCAGCAAATGGCTGTATCTCATCAAGCTAAGAGTTATTTTCAATTATCAGAAATCTATAAACAAGAAAAGACTATAGTTATCATAAATAACCACAAAAATGCAGAGTAATATGGGGGGAATCTTTGACACCCATAAAACAAACAAGCAAACACAATCGAGAATAACCTAAAGGATTATTGAATAGAGAAACCCCAAAGGAGTAGAAAAATATATTAAAATAGTGAATTGAAGTGATATCTTGGAGACAACTGGTGAAGACCAGACATGTCTAACATTGAAGAAGTCATTAGCTGATCGCACTTGCTTGGATTTAATTTGCTTAGGCCTACCATTTGCATTTGAAGAGATCAAAAGACATCGTTACCTGGATGGTGGTATTACTGCTGGCAAAGTGGATTTGCCTGTTGGGTCTGCCCAACACAGCAGGAAAGTTTGCTTCTAGAGGAAGAGTACATATGATTTACAGCTTTCCATTCTCACTTCTGGTAAGAGCAGACATCACAATAAGCAAGGCCTTGAAGTACCGGGGGGAAAAGCCAGGAGAAGACACATGTCAAAAATCTGCATTGATTCCATGTGCTGAACAGTTACATGTATCACGAATTACGCAGTCACTTGCCACAAGTGACTCTGAGATATAAGAGAACTGGATTCCAATCAATATTCATCAGTTCCCAGCTCTAATCTGTATATTATTCAGTGACCTTTGGCAAATGACTTACATTTTCTGAGATGATTTCCAGATCTAAAAAAAGAATGTCTCATGGTTAAAAATCACTTGACAAAAATCAAGCTCAAGCTCAAGAGTGATAGTTAAGTGCTCGAAATTCCCAGCCCTGCCAACTGACTTGTAGAATGTTCAAATAGAACTTTGCAGTTGCCAAAAAATGGAATAATGTTAGCTTATATTTCTAGGAAATGTCAGATGAGGCAATTTGGAAAATCCACCTGCTGTGCCTAAGCCTGAATCTAAAACAATAAACGGTCCATTTTTCTCTGGAAGTTGAGTCCTACTGAATTAATCTTGTTACAAGACGAACGCCTGAAAGTAAATATGATGAATCACTCCTCCTACCATGTTTTCCTCTCGTGGTTCTAACAGCGGTTCCCTGCTCTCTCTCCAACAGCACTCTAGTAAGGAGCCAAACGCCTGAAAGCAAAGTGTGATCAACAGATGCTCGTTTCCATAATTGGCACTCTTCCAATAGCCAACCCCAAATTTAATTAGCCACTTATCTGAAGCAGAAAAGGCTTTCTAAAGCATTCTAGTAATCTGTGCTTGTTCTTGCCACTGGTGCGTGCCCTAGCCCCATGTGCCTCCTCACCCAGAAGTCTTCTAAGCATCCACTGCAAACACAGGATGGGTGCTGATTCCTACTGGAAATAAACAATTCTCTAAAAGTGTGCATGAGATTTCTCTACTAGGGAGAAAGAATAATATTCTGTTGAACTGAAGACCACATATGGCACATGGGAAGGACACTGGAAATGAAGCTGTACAAGTAACTCAATATAGCAGGTCAGCATGTTAGCTGGGATAAGTCACAGCTCTTCCACTGTGACCTCCCCAGCATTAGACTCCATCCAACCTACAGCCAGATCCCAAATGTCCTGGTGGCTGCATTCATTTAATACTGCCTGAGAAATACCGTCACTCCACTCTTCACTCCGCTGACCTTGGACTCAGTGAATTCTGTCATAGCGCCAAATCCCTTGGAACAAAGGAACTGTCTACATTCAGTCCTCTTGACAACTGACTGCTATAAGATGGGGTTTCCAGGAACTCATGTGATCACATGACTCCACAATCACCTCAGGGGATCCTGTTGGCTCAGGGGGCTGGTGTCAAGCTGAAACAGAAGGTATGGATGCCCATGAGGCGATGGCAGATGGTGTGGGAGGTGAGGCCCGGCGCTACCCACTGTGGCTGGCTGTGTTCCTGTTGCCTACCCCACATCATTTGCCCTGTCTGCTGGGAGCAAAACTCCTCTTGGTGGTGGTGAACCCATCCATGTGGTTCAGTCAGCTGACTTCCCCAGTGTACCCCAATTGCTCCGGGACCACAGCGACTGGGAGAGAATTGGATCAGTGACCCACGTCAAGCCAGAGACCTCTTTGAAATCTGGGTTCTCAGAAAAGGCTTTCTCCTGAGTCACTGAGCTTAAATAATGTGAACCCTGCTCACCACTTGGAGAAAATCTGTCTACCAGGTAGCAGTAGGGGCCCTCCCATTCCACACCATTTGAGCCCTGGATCCAGCCCTGCCTGGAGCCAAGCAAGATTAGCCTGGATTTCACTTCCGTGAGCTAATCTAACCAACCCCTACTTTTGCTTAAGCTACACAGGATGTGGTTCTTTCCCTGAAAGCTTCCCTGCTAATGAACACCTAACTTCATCCCCTCTGCCTAACTTATTTAGATGATTATCTTCCTTCTTTTTGTAGTCTTTGTCTAAAATTTTCCATATTCTCCCCTCCAGCCCTCAGGTTAAAAACCTAACTCTTAAAGGGACCCTTCCTATATTAACCCATACCTTCCAGAGACCTAGAGTCTTCGATGTATGCACATGTGGATAACTTTCATCCCATAATCACATCCTACCTGCTATTCCATAAGACCTATTCTTGCTGTAACACTGCTCTTTAACCAAGAAGTTTTAATTATTGGAAAAAAAAAAAAAAAAAGGATCCTCATTTTAAAAGTCCTACCTATTAAAAATGGGCTCCCCGGGGGAAATGCAGGGAGGCTCCAAGGTGTATGTATGTGTTCTTAAATAAATGCTAAAATTTGAAAACTTATTATATGCCAGGCAGTATGCTAAGCACCTTACATGCATTTTTCATTGATTCTTACAACAACCTTACATGCCTGGTACTTTTATCTCCCATTTTGAAGAAGTGGTATTAAGACTTCAAGAGGTTAAATCATCTGCTCAAGGGCACACAGCTGGTAAGCCGAAGCAGCTGCCTGGACTGAGTGCAAAGGCCCTTCTTACCATCTCTTACCCTCACCCACACCCTCAGGACCAGGCATGTGCCCTCTTGGAAATGCCCCCAGTGAGGCTCCCTTTGCCGTTCCTCTGCACAAGTAACTCAGAACTAGCAGCTCAGAGTTTGTCCTGGGTTAGCTCACAGCTCTGCTACTCTGACCTACCCAGCCCTGGACTCCCTCCAACCCTACAGCCGGATCCTGGGTGGTCCCAGGGACTGCCTTCATTTAAGACTGCCTGGGCAGCCTTAAGTGTTCCATTGTATTAATAGTACTAATACCCATTTTTAGACTTAAATCAAATACCACTTGGTTCTTTTGCTTCCTGGTCCACAGCAATTCTAAAAGAATAAAAACTTAGAAGTGACTGTGAGGTGGAAGCTGATCCTAGGAAGTGGTGATCGATAACTGGTAGACTTAGAAGGAGTCCTCAGAGTAAGGAGCTCTCCTTCTGGGGACTCTGCAGGGTGGTATCTTCCCAGGAAGTGGGTCCTCCAGGGCACTGGAGGCAGCACAGGGACCCATAGAGTTGGCAAGTGTCAATCTACTAAAAAGTTTATATGGGGACTAAGTAGGTATACTTTTAATGAATATGCAGTCATCAAACTGTCTTTACAGATATCTAAATTCCTCTTGGCTCTTCCGTAGGTGGTGGCCTTGAGGCCAGGAATCACATCTAATAAATCTAACTTCATAATGTGTCACCTGAGTGCTTGACACTCAATTGTCATTATCACATAGATAATGAATTCTATTTCTTTCTGTGATGAACGAGTTGTACATCTTTATTTTAAGCATGAGTCCAAGTTGTACATGTTTTGGGTTAAATATCATTCCACAGAAATCATTCCCTGAAATTTAAATGTTTTATTCAGAGAAGGGCACCTCAGTCCCTTCATCAGCACCCCATACTTTTATTTTTCTTTAAGATTTTATTTATTTGAGAGAGAGACAATGAGAGAGAGAGAGAGTGCACATGAGAGGGGAGAGGGTCAGAGGAAGAAGCTCTCCAATGAGCAGGGAGCCCGATGTGGGACTCGATCCTGCGATCCTGTGACTCCAGGATCATGACCTGAGCCTAAGGCAGTTGCTTAACCAACTGAGCCACCCAGGCACCCCAGCCTGCAAATCCCAGTAGACTAGAATGTGAATGAGAAGAGTAGAGAGAGCATCTTAGAAATAAGTACACGGAGTGGGGCAGGTGGTGAAAAAAGTGAAGAGAGAACATCTCTATCAAAAATAAGCATACCAGGGGCACCTGGGTGGCTCAGTCGTTAGGGGACTGCCTTCGGGGTCCTGGGATCGAGCCCCACATCAGGCTCTCTGCTCAGCAGGGAGCCTGCTTCTCCCTCTCCCACTCCCTCTGCTTGTGTTCCCTCTCTCACTGTGTCTCTCTCTGTCAAATAAATAAATAAAATCTTTAAAAAAAATAAGCATACCAAAAAAATCAGCTAAAAATTACAAATTATTATCTCAGGGGCGCCTGGATGGCTCTGTTGGTTGAGCATCTGACTCTTGTTTTTGGCTCAGGTCATGATCTTAGGGTCATGGGAATGAGCCCCAAATCAGTCTCTGAGCCCTGTGTGGAGTCAGCCTGGGTTTCTCTCCTTCTCCCTCTGCCCCTCCCCCTGCTTGCTTACACTCTCTCTATCTCTCTAAAATAAGTAAAAATAAAAAAAAAGTATTATCTCAGGAGAGAAAGAAATCTCCCCCCACCCAATACCCCCTCCATCAGCCCCACCTCTACTCCACAGGTATGAGAGATTTGTAAATGCATGTATCAAACTTTGCAGAACTCTGGGAGCCAGTCTCCAAGGTGACCCTCGGATCACCTTGAATTCTGAATATTCTTGTCTGGTGTTGTCCCCTTCCACAGTGAATAGGTCTGACTTGTGTAATCAACAGACCATTGTGTGAAATGTGACTTCTGGGGCTAGATCATAAAAGACTTTGCAGCTTCCACCCTGCTCAGTTCATCTGAGGGAGGCCAGTTGTCATGTGTGAAGATACGCAAGCAGCCCTATGGAGAAGTCCACATGGGGAGGAACTGAGCCTTCCTGCCAACATCCAGCACCAGCTCGCCAGCCATGAGAATGAGCCACTTTGGAAGTAGGTCCTCCAGCCCCAGACAAGCCTTCAGATGTCTGCAGCCATGGCCAACACCTTGACTACAACCTCGTGAAAGGCCCTGAGAGACCCCAGAACCACCAGAACTGAGCTTGTCCCAAATTCTTGGCCCACAGATAATGAGATAATAACAGTTTATCATTGCCTTAAGCCATTGAATTTTTAGGGTCATTTGTTACGCAGCAATAGATAACCGGCACAAAAGATGACTTAACTTTATACTATGTGCTCACATAACTTTGATTTTAAAAATCCTAATCTACTGTATGATAATATTTTCTGGAATCCTCAACCGACATCAAAATTTAAGATTATGGACAAAATGAGGGTTTCTAAGCTCAGCTTGTATACAGAAGAACCAAACTGCTTTAGACATGGCACATCGGTACTTAAATCTCAA